GCCCAGTGTCATCTAATTGAATCTTGACTTTTAATACCCATTAGGGGAGACCATGATGGTAATGTAGCATGAGGCTTTTCCCATTGTTGAGAGGGAACACTCACATTTTGCCTGATGCCCATGAATTAGAAAGGCTTCCACTCTGGACAGTGGAAACTGGAAGCAATCTTAGTGGTCTGTTAGCTTTGGGGATTTCCCCTTGTCATTTTTTCTCCTAGTCCTTTGCCTTATTTTGGATAGCTTCATCATATATATGTGTACTGATTTCTATTTGCTGAAGACTCCAGAGAGACCCTCAGCAAATACCTATGGTTCTTTTCTTTAGAACTTTGACTTGAGAACTTTATTGACTTTAGAACTTTGACAGAGGTCTTGGGTTCCTGATACCAGCAATTCTGTCCCTTGTTTGGAAGTCTTATCAAATCCACCCAGGTTCCTGCTCCTGGGGTCACGGCTCAAGGGAACGGGAGAGAACAATTAAAGGGTTTACTTCATTTGCTTCCCTTCTCTCAGGAATCATTATTGTCTGTATTTACGAAGTTTTTTTCCCCCCCATATATTTTGTTATAAAAATTGCTTCAGATGGGAGGGTAAGTATCACCCTGTTGCTTGAAGTTCAGTAGCTTTTTATTAAATCCACTTTCCTGAGCACTAAATATAATTGCTATCCTTCCCATCCTTTTAATACAATCACATTCTCTACATATAATTGTCTTAGATAAATAACACACAGTATTTACAGTATATGAGTGTTTTTATATTCTGCTCACTACTTTATTTATACACTTTGTTCTTAATTTACTTTGTATATATACTTAATCTAACTTCATTCTCTAAAATAACCAATAACAACTAGTAATGTAACTTCAAACTACTCCAGGTGGTCAAACTATCTCAGTGTTTTGTCAACCTAATTTACTTGAAGAGACCCACCTTACTTGAGAGACTTTCTGGATTTCTCTAGTCAGAACCAATTGGTCTCTAAGTTCAAGGTCACCTTGTGATCTCTAACCAGCATTATGAAGATTCCTTCCTCTCTCAGGTTGATTTCCTATTTTAGGCTGTCCCTTTTTATTGTTTAGGTGATTTTTTTTCTGTTTTCTCCCAGAAAGGAAATTACCTGTTGAGGGCCCACATCTCAAAATATTATTTTACCATTACCCATAATTACCAAAACCTAGATTCTGTTGGAATATTCCAGGTTGGAAATAATGTTTCTTCAGAATTATAAAGTCATTGGATATCAATATTGCTCCTCACATCAAAATGAAAGCTTCAGAACATCATCTATATGTTTTACTTACTGCCTTACACATAGTAGGTACTCAATAAATATTTGAGACGTCATTCTGATTTGTTATTCCTTCCATTTTAGGATCTTCTTTTCCATCCCTAAGATCCTGAAAATTCATGAAAGCATACCCTGGTAAGCATTTATTTTAATCCACTGTGCTGGATACCCTTTGGCTTCTTCTAATTGGAACACTTGTATCTTAATTCTGGAACAAAATTTTCAATAGTCTTATTGACAATTTCCTACCTACTTTCAGCGTTGTTTCTAAAATTCCTATTATTCATGATTATGAAATTCCTAAGGGGATTCTTGATCTTTCTTTTATGTTCTTACTTTACTGTTCCCCGCCCCTACCTCCTATTTATATTCTGGCTTATTTAACGTGGTCCCTCTGCATACAACTTCTGAGCCCTCCTGTTTGTTCTGCATGATTTTCTCATTTTTCATTGTCTCATGACATCTTGTTTTATTAACAATCTACCTTCTCAAAACTCCTAGGCTATCAGCAGTAGATTTCCAGTACCTCCCTCTTACCCAATTTATTTTCTTCTCTACATATATTTTTGTCTTTTTTGGGGGGGGTATTTACTTGTTTGGGGCTCTATCTCCATATTAACTGCTCTCCTCAAATGTCAGCTAACCTTGGCTATCCGATCATTTTCAACAGCATGATATTAAAAGCTGGAGTGGAAGCTATATGCCCCTCTGCGAGCAGATGTTGACTAGGATTTTTCTGAAGGGGAATCTGTCTGTGGGAGTCTCTATTGTCCACAGCTTTTGGTCCTGTCTGTTGGGCTAGTCAGAGTCTCTGGGGAAGACATTTACCATGTACCTGGAAGGTAGAAGGCAGCCTGACTGCTAGCTTTGGGGGGCAAGTGTGTGATTGGGAAGGGAGATGATTCTCAGATTTCAGGATAAACGTTTATTTAATCTCCCTGCTTCTGGACATAACCCCTAACTCCACCTGGACCTGATGTTTCCTTCCCTCATTCACCTCAGTTCACCCAGAAACCCTCTAATTTATCCTCTCGGGGGAATAAATCCGCCATGCTCTGCCAGGGGAGGAGCAGCAGCCTGGTTGCTGACTTTGATATGAGATCTGGGGATCTAGTGACTCTTAAGTAGTTTTATGACAAATTGTCCTTTACTCAATTTCTCAAAGGGTTTGAGCCTAGCAATTCCTAAACATTTGGTGTATGACATAATGAGTTTGCCTCATTTTCCTCATTGCCAGTTTATATGATTCATTCTTTCCTGTGAGAATAAATTAGATGCCATTCATCCATCTGACTTGCGAAATTATACTTTTCATCCATTCCCCACCCTAACTTTTTCCTCTTTATTTCTATTGTCTTTGGGTCTCAGGTCTTCTGGAAGATACTGTTTTGTTGTTTCAGGTAGGCTTGTGAGGCAGTTAAGCCAGAAATGCATTAAATCTTCCATTTTTACCCTGAAACTCCTCATTTATTTTTAATTTATTTTGTCTTATTTCATCTGTACCTTTTAAATTCACTTCTGGAATTCAGTTAGACCTAAATAAATTTCCACACACAAATAGATTACAAATATTACTAAGTATATATACGTTAATAGTAAATAAATATAAGCATTTGGTGTATGAACATAATGACTTTGTATTTTAGGTTGGTGTGAATTAGGTAATTTACGTTACTTATGAATTTCAACATGTTCAGTTCTATGGACTCTGACAGACAAAACTTGTAGAATTCATACAATCCCTACAAACATAAAAGGGTATTTAAAGGTCAGCCCAAAATGTCTAGGCCAGTTATTTTTAATTCTTGTCCTTAATTCACTGAAGAAATAAAAGCTAAAAAGATTGTTGAAGTTCAAAGAAATTATTTGAACTTCAGCATGAGTTTGATCCCCCGCCCCGGAGGTGACCCACATGGCACGGCAGACCACTCCTGACCCACCCGTTGCTCCCCTCAGCAGTGTACTTTGTCAATATGCCTGTTCTGCTCTCTACTCTGTCTTTGAGGGTCTTCTCACCACCCCTGCACCTCTGACCTGTACCCCAGTTCTGTATGCATAAATAAATAAGCTCTAAAAAAAGAACCACAGAGGGAAAGAACTCTATAACATCTAATACAATAAATGATATGGACAAATGTTGAGTCCCTGCCTCATCGTGAGGTTGGCTGGGTAGGGCGTGGGGGTTTGGGGGCTCAAATGCCCTTGGGATAGTTCTGATTAGTCCAACTCAATCTTGGGGTTCCCACTGCTTACTGACTCAGTCATGTCTGAAAAGGAAACGAACACTGCTGTCCATCTAGAGCAGTATTTCCTGACACTAACATACTGGCCTCTAAAGCAGGATGATTTTTCAATGTGAGATTGAGCCACACACTCCTGTTCAAACCCAGCACTGAATCACCCTACCCCTGTATCGCATCCCTGCCTGCTTAATGTGACAGCGATAAGAATCCTCGCTCACTTCTCTTACCTTCGGGTGATGGTATCAGGCCCAACTGAAATCACCAATGGAAGGACCAGATACACAGCACTGCTTGTGAGAATTTCTTCCTTCCAAATCATCTCAGAATTACTGAATCTAAGCTTTCCACATTCCAGACAAGGTAACTGAGGCTCAGAGCAACCATACAGTATCAAATGGGTAAATAATGTTTGTAAAAATGCAGAGAAAATTAGCTAAGTTTATTTTCTAAATAAGTTCACATGACATGATACCAAATTACATACCCATAATACAATGGGCACGTTCAAAGACGCATAGCCCAATGTGGCAACATTGTGCTGGGCCCAATGACATATTGCATATTTAACTACTAGGTTCTCTTGAATTATCAATATCAGGGAGAAAGAAATATTATCAGGATATTAATCTGTCATTTGGTTTCAGTATTTCTTTAAGCTTTTTTTTTTTTTTTTCTTTTTCTTTTATCTTCCTTACAGAACTTTACTGCTACTAATGTATGATGCATGAAGATGTACATACAGAACTGGGGTGCAGGCCAGAGGCTCAGGGGCGGTGAGAGGCTTCACCAGAGACAGAGTGGAGAGCAGAACAGGCAGATCAACGGAGTATACTGCTGAGGGGAGCAGCGGGCGGGTCAGGAGAGGTCTGCCACGCCATGTGGTCTCCTCCGGGGCAGGTGGGAATCGAACTCATGCGGAAGTGGCTTTAGCTTCTCAGTGCAGTGCTTTAACCCACTGCGCCACCAGGGAGGGCCCTCTTTAAGCTTTTTAAGCAAGGCCATGCAAGGCATGGCAGTCCGTTTTTTCACAAAATGCAAATAAAAAGGAGACTTAGCTCATGTGTATCCTAACTATCTGATGAATGACTAGTGAAGAGTGCAGATGATAAATACCAACAGATTTCAGCTTTTCTATTCTTCACTGGAATAATCGAGAAAGGTTCACTGTAAAGGCATGGTGTGGGAGTTGAGGGATAGTCACAGAACTGGAGAGGAGGCTAAGCCAGGGTGAGAAATGTCCAAGGCAAGTGTGAGATGCAGGACTGGAATGAGGAGGGGAGGAGTCCACCGAAAGGGAGCTGGAAATAGAGTCATGGCTGTGGGGAGCAGAATGGAGCATCTTTTGCAAGCAAGGGAGGACAAATTACTAGTAGTTCTTGAATAATAGCAGGAAAAAACAAACAGTTTGAGAGGGGGGTTAAGTAAAGCAAGGGAACAAAGACGTGCATTAATGAAGAAAGATATACCTAAAATGGCTTATCTGATTTTCTAAAAGGGAGGAGAGTCGCTCTTTTATTTCTTCAAATCTCTCTTTTTCTTCAATTGAAACAGTTCCGATACCATCGGGTCTAAAAAAAAAAAAAGAAGAAAGAAAAAAATCAGAATTGTCAATTTATACAAACAATGCTCACTTTTCTCTATTTATATCTTTATATATACATATATACTACCCTGAATACACAAATTAAAGACTATGTATGTTGGCTCACAGTATACATATTACTTGTGTCTGTAGAGGAAATTTATGGGAACATCATTTGTAGTCAATTGCATCATATTTTGACCTGGAATGAATAGAACAGAATTATTTTCTTTTAGACAGCCTTCAAGGTAAAGGATTACAATAAATATTTTCCAGATCTACAGAAAACAATGACTAGTCCTTGAGAATGGCAGTGAAAAGTGTTTTATAGTGGTACCAAACATTTGGCCAATTAAATGAATAGCCCCGGAGGGGAAATATTATAAAAGTACAGCAAATGTAAGACAAAATGTCTTAACTACTTCTTTTCCAAATAAAAATTAAAATGGTATGACATTAGAGAGTTATAAGAAACAGAAAATTTGGGTACATGTAGTGGTTTACTGCTTTTTAGAAAAATATGTAGGCATATAAATACCTGAATAAAAACGTAAGACCTATTAGGCTTCTTTTTAAGATAGCTATGTTTGCCCAAATATCCCCATGGAGTCAAGGATTAAGATGATTAAAATAGCTAGGAAGACTAAACAGAAATTTTCTTTAAGATGAGGACTGACAGCAGGGATTAGAACTCAATCAATAACAATTTAAGGATCTGGTCACATAGCAGTCACTAACATTACAAACATAAATTTTAAATGTTATCTTTGTTAACACATGTAAAAAGATATGCTAATATCATTCACTTTAAAATTTCTTTATATATTTCAACAAAATGAGCTTTTTACTTTTGGTAATTAACACTAAAGCAAGTGTTTTAATCCAGGCTTGTGTATTTATCATTCCAACTTACTACCATGTTAATGTTCATGTGTGGAATGGATGGAAACAAGGATAATGAAAAAACAGAAATGAATGCATAAACTATCTTTCCCACTATGGTGGTGGACTATGGATTTTGGGGGGTGGATGAATGTGGTGACAATAACTGAAGGGGGAGATCCTTCTAGAACACAAACAATGATACAAGTCAATGTTACCTGAGTTAAAAAAAAATAACTTCTCCCCAAAGATTTTCCACATAATGTTCCTACAGTATTTTTTTAAAAAACATTTATGTGTGTATGTATGTATGCATATGTGTACGTATGCATATGTGTATGTATCTTTAGTACTTGCAAAGCAGCCTATTCAGATGAAAGCAATTAACTTTAAAGTTCTATTTGACTGATAACGACAGATTTTCTACTCACATCAAATCCTTCATTCCCCTTCATTCCTTCATTTATTTTCCTACTAGCCGATTTTCTAAAGCAAGTGTTTTAACCCAGGCTTGTGTATTTATCATTTATCATTCCATTACCTCCCAAATATACAGTAACTCAACATTCAATATTCAGTAACACACATGGGGCTGAAATTTTTGCCTTGAAAATATTGTTTCATTCATAAATAGAAATTATCAACTTTATGATGGGAACATATCGATTATACTTCATTGGGATGCATTTGGAATGTTAACCAGAAAGACTAATGGCAAAATGTTGGTCTTTTAAATAATTTAAAAAGGAGAAAGGTTGATCGATAAATTATAAAGCAGTGAACATGAGCTGCCCACAGTCGGTCCCCATGGAGCAAATGATATCCTCAAACCATACTGTACCTTATAAAAAAACATTGCCAATGGCCACAAAGTTGAACTGGTGAATTTTCTAAATATAATAAATCTAGAAACCAGGGCATTCAGTCAAAAAAATATGACCACTTTCTGTTTTACAAATACAGGGATAAAAACTCGTACCACTAAGTTGCAGGTGGTTATTTCGCTACATATATCTTTGCAAACGTGATGATACAAGGTGAAGAACTTATCTTTTTGTTCTGATGATTGATATGGTCCTTTGGCTTTGCTCTATGACAGATGTCATATAATTACATATCTGAGTGAATTTTATCATTTCCACTGTCAGTGGAGACTGTGATCCAGTGAGAAAGTAAATTTCACATTAACATCACTGGGGCACTTCACCTATCAGACAGAATGCAGCTGGGGTCCAGGCGATGAAAAGTGAGAAAGGTTAAGTCATGGAAACATCACTTGTGTCGACTTCCACTAAGATAAAAACTGTCATACATACGCAGGGCTGCCATTTTCTTGAGTTCACAATTTGGCAGGAAATACAACAGTTAATATTGCGGAGTTGTCCTGATTCACATCCTTATTTTAGAATTTATACCAGACTACATAGTGTGCATTAGGTATATGAAGTCCCTTCTGAATCTGAACTATTGGGAACTGTAATTTTCCTGCAGTTAACACTAAAGGTAAGTTACTCCTAAAATTATTCTTTCCGATAACTCAAACACATGTTGTCTCATCAATATCTTCTTGTGGTTGTTATTAAAACATACATATAACACACACACACACACACACACACACACAGATAATCCATTCAAAACTGGCAGAAGACCCAAATCTATATTCTAAAGAAGACATTGAGATGGGCTAAACACAGAAAGATTGGTCAGTCTCACTTATTGTGCAGGAAGTGCAAAGCAGAATAAGAGTGGATAACACTTCATTCGTGTGGGCATGGCCCATATCAAAAAGAATGGAAGCAACAAGTGTTGTAAAGAGGTGGAGAAAAAAGGAGCTGTTGGAGGAAATCCAAGTGGGTGCAGCTGCTAGATAGAAATCCCAAAGGATCCAAGTTTTATCAAAGAAAATATGAAAACTCTAATATGCAAACTTTTACATACACTGTCCACAACTGCCAAGCCATGGTACCAAGGTAAATGCCCTTCACCAGGTGAATGGATAAACTGTGGAATATATACTGAATGGAATACTACAGAGCTATTTAAAAGGATGAAACAGTGGCTTTGGGGACAAAATGGATGGCCTGTGAGGTGATTATATTAAGTGAGGTCAGAAAGTGAAAGGCCTTTCTATATATTGGATATCTTGTCATGATTACCTGTTCCTCCTGCAGTGTGTAAACACAGTGTTAAGAAACATATCTTTAAACAAGAGGAACATCATTACCAATATTCTCTATTATTTCCCATGGCTTTTAGGGTAGTCTAGTCAAACTGATTCTATCAGTCTAAAGAAAATATTCAGACATTGACTAACCTGGTTATCTGCACTTCTTAGGCTCAACAGTTTGCAGTTGAACAGATTTTTTTATAATATTTTTCCAAAATAATAAGCCCCATACATTTAATATAGCCTCATTTTGACATGTTTAAGATCAATTTCATCTTGGCCAAGTTGAGTAAAGAGAATTCACTGGCTGTTAGCATGTTTTCTGGAATCACCACCCCAGGCATTCTTTCATAGCAAGGGGAAAACAGCCTATGTGTGTTCAAACAGTACAAATTAGAAGCGTCTCATGCTTCACAGTCCCACCACAGTTTATTCTGGAGTCTGATAAGCCTGAGAATAGACAGTTGTTTCCTTTTGCTTCAACAACATCTCAAAATTATTTTAGTCAGGGAAACTCTTGACCTAATTCCCATGATAAAAAGCATCATTCAGGGCTGCTGAACATCTGTCCTGTTACTATTTCTTGAGCAGCTAATATCGTCTGTGGCTATTTTCTCAGTCAGACAGCATCCCCTTGGCTTTAGAGTTGGCATAGTGCCTGGGACACAGAGCATAGGAAGCTTGTGAGTGGCTGAAATGTGCCAACAGTTAACACTGCACAGAAGATTCTGGTAAAATGATGCAGAAGACTCCCCTCCCCCTTCTCCTTCTACCCCTGCCTGTCCCCAACTTCTCAAATAAGGTTGTTTGTCCTGGCAGTTTGGGGTTTAGTGGTAAGAAATATTTTACAACAGTGAGTGGGCAAATGATAATGTTCACGGTGCTTCTGAGTCTCGCCGAGGCTTCTTTTTGCCCACCTGCTCCTATGCAGAATGTAGGACTTAGCTTCCTCCAGAGAGAGTGAGAAGGGGAGAGACACCTGGTATGTCTGAGTTGTCAATTCTGCCTCCAGCACAGCAGGTAGAAGTCACTTTGCACCTCGTGTGCTTCCCACCAATATCCATTTGTGAAAGGAGTAAAAAGGAAGGAAGATGGCATGAGAATAAGAAATGACAGAAGATGAGGGGAAAAAAACAATAATTTCTTATTTTGCTCCCTAACATAACACCTCTTACTTGAAACAAAATGACCTATTCCTTGGATGGCCATGCATTACCTAACCAATGGGCCGTTACGTCCCTTGGAATTTTAAATAAAAAGAACAAATCAATACTACCCCTTTTTCTATTGGTGTAGAAGAAAGAGATTTTGAGCAAATGTTTTGAAAACAGAAATTTAAAATTTTGTTTTTCCTTTTCCAAGCATTCTTCCTTCTTACTGCTTTATTTATTTGACTCATCTGGTACATTTTCTTTGGAGGTTTTTAAGGCATAGACCCTTCTCTAGAGAGCCGAACCTGGCTCCATGAAGATAGGTGAGATTGGGGTTTAGTGTTGTGTGCAAGTCGTGATGGACAGACACACAGACAACACACAGACATCAAGGCCTCTGCCTCGTCTCTCCTGCAAACAAACTAACAAACTCTCTTGGACTAATTCTACATTAAAATCACTGTTGTACAGCCCTTGAAAATTTAATAGAAACAAAATATCTAGATGATTTTAAAAGGAAAGAGAAATAAGGTTGATGTATTTGGGGATATAAACATGAGCCCTGTCCCACACCTGATAAAGCAGTAAGAGAAGAGGAAATAGAGACTAAACTTGAATATCAATGTAGTAATAAAAAACGACTGGAAACAGTGATGGTAAGTGGTAGAGATATGTAGGTGTTTTAGCTTTTGGTTTTGTTAGATGGTGTCTATGGTGCAGCTTTGTACACCGTGTTCTTAAAACACAAAACTACTGAGTGTGCCAGGAAACTCCATGGAGCTC